AAGATGGTCATGAAATTAGGAGAGATCTTGGGAGTCTGCAGAAGGGAGAACAAAGGACACTGAGGGTGACTGAAATAAGGATCAAGAACAGAATGAAAAAAAAACAAAGAGGAAACAGGGAAGAGAAGGTGGTTGCAATGGGACAGGAGCAAACTTCCTGATGCAGTGAAGATGCTGAAGGGAGGAGAGAAGACTTGCTGGAGGAACATGTAAAGCTGTCCTGCAGCTTTGTCTTCACCAGTCATGTGTTGTCTAACCAGAAGACATCCATTAAACATTCTTAGTGTCTTTGTTACAAAATGAAAAATAGTTAATGTACAAGTGTTCAGCCACTCTGAAGAAGAAGAGAACAGGGTGGACAAATCAGAAGCAGAGGTCCAGAGCCTGGCTCACTTCACTTGAAGTACCTGGAAGAAGCAGAAACTTTTCCTCTAAAATTAATCAATATGGACTTGATTTGCCATTTTGCTGCCATATAAATCTTAGAATTTAGGGCTTTTCTTGTTAATCTTGGTGTCAAGAAAAAATTTACTTCCCTTCACAGATTACCAAAGTACCTCTAGAGTATATACAGGCATATGTATTTATACATATATAAATATATATATATATAAAATAGCGGCCAATCTGCTTCAATATAATAGTACCACATATAGGCTTGAAAATAAAGACATTGTGTATATATAAGCATTAGTAGCAGATCAAGGAAAAAAACATAGAAAACAGGCAGAAAGCCACCTGCCAAAAATCTCTCATCTCTGTGCTCTTAAACTGCTCTAACTCTTAAAAGATAAGGTGAAAAAATGGAGGTACCTGTATTCTTTTAGGGACAGATAAAAGGGGTATTACTGCAAAGCCTTTATATGTAGGAGTATATTAACAAAAATAGGTATGAAATGCTCAAGGCTCTCCATTTCAAGAAGTTCAGAAAATCCTTTCTTTATGCTGTTGCGTCTTCAAGAGGATCCTTTTCAGCACTCATTAAAATGCACTTTTGAAATAAAACTGCTGATCAAAAAGCATGTTTTTCTCTCCTCAGAATGAAATAGATTTGCCTGCCTTTAGAACTCACTTTTCAGAAGTATTAAAAAAGTTATTACTAATGTTTCAGACAGTATGTCTGAAAAAATCTTGTAAATAGTTCTAAATCTTCCAAAATTACTTCAGTACAACTAGGACTTTTATACTGAAATTTTAGAATGCTGAGCATACAGAGTCCACCAAAGACATTCAGCATTTTTTAAAATCGAGAGGATATTTTTGTTCAAATAGGCTTCTGTTGCACTTAATGTTTCTTTCCGTTTCAAATGCAAGTTGTATACAAAAATAACTGACAAAACTCAAACATAAAGCAGTAGAGTTGGGGTTATTTTGTTTGATTTGTGTTTGGGTTTTTTTTTACCTAGCCATGAACATAAAGGGAAAATGGGTTTTCTTGATGGAAAAGTCTTTACTAAAGTGTTAAGCAACAACTAATAGCTATATAATCTTTGCCTTCTTTTGGGACAAACAAACAGCAATTTATATTCTTCCATCGTCTTAAGGAGCTAACAAGTAAAGTAAAACAACGATTCTATCATATCACTTTTCCAGTAATTGACTAGAACCATGGCTGATTTAACACCTATGAAAAACACGAATGCAAGAACATGCATATTTTAAGAGCATCTGACACTAGCTCTCTATGGGCCAACATTATTTACCAGTTCTGTCAGGGTGCTATTATGTTGCCTGTACATACTAATACAAACCTGTTTCACTGAAAGCACAATTTGGCTTCAGGAAAATCTGCTGTGAACTGATGGTTCCCTTGATTAATCCTAGCTCTTGTGTAAGCTGCAAACTAGCAAAAATAATAATGGATTACCACCATCCACAGAACCATTCATTAAGGAGAAAAGCAGTGCATTACACACAGTAATAGAGAAATAATGCTGTCAAACTAGTTGATGGCACATTTTAGACTCTTTACCCACATTTTATTCTTCTTATCTGCCATTCCTTAATGTAACTTAATGAACAGAGTAAGTTTAAGATGAAACACTAGACAGATTTTACGGTTAATTAGAGTCACTTCACTTAGCAGAAAGTGTCATGTGACAAAAAGGTCTGCACAAACACTAGAACTAGAAGACTAGTAAGTAAACTGTGTATTCATCAAACTCAACATTAGGTAATTGGTAGTAAAATAAGGTGCATGTCTGAAATATTTCTACAGAAAGAAACATTCAAACTAGAACAAAGACTCACATATACCATATATTTTACATACAAAATATGTAAATTTAAAGTAAGTCCTTTAGTGTTGTTTGATGATGGAGGCCTGATGCCAAAAAACCTACATACGGCTTGCATGTCTTACGTTAAATTTCTGTGTGACTATTCTCATAAACCATTTGCGCAAGACAATCAACCTAATTTTCTTCTGAATCAATTTTAGGAGCTCTCATGAGCTGAAGACTCACAGAAATATTCAGATCATTCACTTACAAACATCACTCAAATTGCCAAAATCTTGCCTAGAATAGAATCACAGAATCACGAATCATTAAGGTTGGAAAGGGCCTTCAAGATCATCAAGTCCAACCATTAATCCAGTGCCACCGTGTCACCTAAACCATGTCCTGAAGCGCCACATCCATACTTTTTTTAACACTTCCAGAGGTGGTGACTCCACCACCTCCCTGGGCAGCCTGTTCCAATGCTTGACCACCCTCTCGGTGAAGAAATTTTTCCTAATATCCAATCTAAACCTCCCCTGGCACAACTTGAGGCCATTTCCTCTCGTCCTATCACTAGTTAGTTGGGAGAAGAGACCAACACCCACCTCGCCACAACCCCCTTTCAGGTAGTTGTAGAGAGCAATAAGGTCTCCTCTCAGCCTCCTCTTCTCCAGACTAAACAACCCCAGTTCCCTCAGCCGCTCCTCATAAGACTTGTGCTCCAGACTCCTCACCAGCTTCGTTGCCCTTCTCTGGACACGCTCCTGCACCTCAGCATCCTTCTTGTAGTGAGGGGCCCAAAACTGAACACAGTATTCGAGGTGCGGCCTCACCAGTGCTGAGTACAGGGGCACAATCACTTCCCTACTCCTGCTGGCCACACTAGTTCTGATACAGGCCAGGATGCTGTTGGCCTTCTTGGCCACCTGGGCACACTGCTGGCTCATATTCAGCCAGCTATCAACCAGCACCCCCAGGTCCCTTTCTGCCGGGCAGCTCTCCAGCCACTCTTCCCCAAGCCAATCATTTGTTCCTAAGCACTCAAAAGCAATTCATGCGACCATAAGCACATCACAACTACCTGTCATACTTCAGAAACAGATTTCTTCCAACACCTGATCTCTTAAGGAAATCTGGGCATGCCAACCTCCTTCACACTGCTCTGAGTTCACAACACGCAACAGATGGCACTGAAATTTTCCACCTTCCCCATGGCAGGACATACAAGACGTAGGATTTATGCTCTCTCATATCAAAGACTGTTTAAATGTGATAAGGGGATAGGATGAACTGAAAGGCAATAGTACCTGCAACTTCAGTGTCAGCCCCATCTGCAGACTGCCTTAAAGATGGGCTGGACCAGGCCAGTCCTTATGAGCTTTATCTGCACCACACCTCTGTCAGGGTTCACTTCAGGACAATATGCCTGGCCTCAGTCCTAGGAGGCTGCTTCAAGTGCAGCTCCTTCCACCTACACCCTGCTATTAGAGGATCATCAAAAATTGAGCTTAGTAAATTTGCTCCAAATGTGTAAATAAAACCAACACACTTGGAAAGCAAGCATACTCTCTAATGGTTAAACAACCTCAAAGGGTTCTGTACACAGTATGTTAAAACAAAGTGTCAAGGAAATCACACTTGATTTCCTACTATTTGTTTTCAGTCAAGCCACACAAAGTATAATTAATGCCACAGAAAATTAAATGTCACCTGCATTACTGTTGTCACAACTATGTGAGACCAAGATGTTATTAAATAACTATATCTCCTCTTCTTTTCTCTCACTAAAATGTATATATGAATTTGAAGTTCAGAATGTAAAGTCTCAAAAACTTCCAGGCTGGATATTTTCCTCTTTTTGGATACAGAAGATTTTTCTGAACAGTTTGCTTCTTCCCTACTATGGATATGGAGACATATTCCAAACAAAGTAACTTACGGAATACCAAACTGTGCTGGCTGACAGTTTGATTTTACATTATTTGGCTGGCCATTTAGTTTTATTTACTTAATTTATCAGCTCAGAAGAAACAATGACAGAGAAAGCCACATTGGGAATTATCAAGCAAATAAAATTACACTTGAACTAACAAGCTGAAATTAGCTAAGTGATTTGTTGTGCAGCTAATCATCCTTGATGAAATCAGCTTATACTAATTTCTCAGCCTCCAAACCATTAGCACCACTACAATACTACATACTGGGAATTTGCTGGATCCTGTGCACGACCACAAATGCATCTGAGAGTCCCACTTTCACTGGGTGGTTGGTCGAACTTATCTGTGTCACAGCAACAGGAATCTGGAAGACAAAAGAGGAAGATATGCATGAAATACTGAAGTAAAAAAATTCAGACTAAAAATATCAGCACTGCCATAATGAACATTTAACCAGTGTAAACTAAAAGTCCTAAATAAATATTTTATACAATATAGCATAATATGACTAAGGATTTATTGAAGATTGAAATTACTGTTTTTAATTTTTATTTTATTCTAGTTTGCTTTGCTGCTTATATAACAATATTCACATCAACACATAGAGGTGGAACAATTGTTAATGATGACACAGAAAAGGGCAGTATTTTTCAGTAATTTATTTCCCCCAGTTGAAGACAAAGTGGGATGATGTGCTCGTATCAGACAAGGATACTTTTCTCTGCTATTGAACACACTAACTGTGAAAGTTCAGCTTGGGATGAACATTTTAAAAGCTTATGGTTCCATTAACTTGCACTGAAAACGGTTTGAAGAACTATCGGAAGATTTGATATTATTCTTTAATATGTCTTGGAATAGCAGGGAAATTATCAATGTCATGGAAAATGAGGAAAATGCCAGATGCTCATTTGCCAACACCTGGAGGAAGAAATAAGAAGACTTAGCCATAGACCAGTCCAGCTTTATGTAACAGATGCAGATGCTGGGCAACATGATTGTATGAAAATAGGTGTCAAGTTTGATTTCATTATTTGGGCAAGATTGCGGCTTTGGCTGATACTTGTATAGATGTAATAGCTCTAGAATTTTGTAAGGTGTTTGATTTAGGGACATGTAACATTTATACAATATTAATATAGTTAACTAGACTGACTGATCACAAACAACAGCCATCACTGAAGAAGCAGATCAGACTGACAGTGTGTCTTTACAGTGTATCCTCCTTCTTCAGAGATCAGACCTAGTATTCAAAAGTTTTATCGAAGACTGGGAAGGAAATGTAAATTTACTGCCAAGCAGTTCTGCAGATGACACTGGCAGAGCAAAAATAATGAAATGCCTGGATTAATTAGCAAAGTTAGACCTTGCAAAAAATTGCAAAGTTATAGCTCAAGAGAACAAAGACTGCAAGGTAGAGGTTTGAGGGCCATGTTGTAGAAAGCAGCAGTTTTGGAAGGAATCTCATTATTGTAGTGGATGAACAATTCCAGCTGTCAGAAGGGACACTGCAGCAAGAAATCTTAATTTGATGTGATATTTGGTTACACAAACAGTGGAATATAGCCTAATGCCTAATGGGGTGGCCATTGAATATAGCCTAATGGGGTGGCCATTTTACTTGAATCTGCCCATTAGATCATTACTGAAAGGTTACACAATCTTTGGGAGGATCTGTTTCTTAAAAAGATGCTGAAAACTTAAGAGAAGGAAGATTAAAAGAGTAATAAAAATATTTATAAAACATTTGCAGTTCTCAAATGCCATTAACAGAGGAGTTCGAGAGCTCTATCTATTTGGCTTCCCAAAGGGGAAATGGAAAGCTGGCTGTATTACCATAAACAAGTACTGCCATGGGGAGAAATTACTCAGGGGATAAAGAGTTTTTTCATTTATCATAGAAAGATATAACCAGAAGCTGGAAGCTGCCGACAAATACCTTCAAAGTAGAATAAGGCACGTTTCTATGATCGAATGTTATTAACCACTGGGATAAACTATCAAGGGAAATTATGATTCTCTACCCATTGCTGCTTTCAAATCACAGTTAGATATCTTATTTTTCAAAGCTGGCCTTCAGTTAACCAGAAATTACCAGGCTGAAGACAGATGAAACTGGATCAAGTGTAAGAAACTGAAACACAAGGTGCTAGCTCAGCTAATCTAATAGTCTGCTCTGGCTTTACCTGTGTAAAACTACCAAAATTATACTGTTGGCCAGTATTTTTCACATAGCAGAAAAGTGCCAAAGCAAAAAGCTGGCTACACAACCAGTGAATGAGGATTCAGTACTGTCTACAAATCAATTAATGGCATGACTTCTGATAATTGAATTGAGCATTAGTAGCTGTTCTCCTCCTTGCTCCTAAAATATCATTTAGCTGTGCTTTTTCCTAATTACACTGGTATCTGTCTAGGAAAAGTTGAGAATATTAAAAGAAAAAGTGAGTTCTGGGAAATAAAACTGTCATAAATTTCCATTTCTTTTACTTGATTTAGTGACTGTTTTAGCTGGTTTATCTAGGGGTTCTGGCATACATGGTCTGCTTCGGCATAACAAAAGGGACTATGTCAAACCAACATAAAAAACAGAAGTGGCTTGGAAATACTACTAGTAATACATCAGTTTAAATTTGGCTTATATCAGTTTAGCTCTGATGCAATTATGGGATAATATGACATAAGAAGGCTGAAAGCCATATTTTCAAAGTCTCCAAAATAAAAGAGTCAGTTCAGAAATAATTCTATAAACTTTCTCCAGCATGAAAGCATAAACAAAATAAGGGAATTATTCATAGTCTCATACATACTGTATGAGATATACATACTGTCTACATACTGTAGAGAAAATCTTATATTAACTATCAAAGAAACGGTCTTAAAATTATTTTGAGGGGGACACTCTAAAGAAGCTATTGAAAATCAAGTTAGAAAAAGCACTGATGAGAAGGATGCAATGATTATTTCTCTTCCAAGTTAGAGAGGAAACACAGCAGTTGAAAAAAGAAATCAGTTTTATGGACACAAAATGTAGTTGGAGTTGGAATTATGAGGTGTGTGACCAAAAAAATATGCTGGAAAAATTGGTAGCTCAAGGCACAAATTACATCTATACATGAAAAGAATTATACTCATTTTTACACGTGAGTGCAAACAAGAAGAAGTTGAGTAGCCTCCTTAACTTTAAGTCTAGTGCGGTATCACATGTTTTTTCTGAATTTGTGAGTAATTGAACATTTTGAATCCTTCCCTCAAAAATCATGCTAAAGCAAACTAATTTCTCTCTCTCTTTTTTTTTTTTTCAGGAAGGAGTGATGGATTCTCACATTACAAATGCCACAAGTTGTTTGTTTGTTTGTTTTATAAATTTATTTTCAGTACAACTTTGTTCAGAGCTTGAAAGTCACTTTCAGTTTCATTATTTAATAAAAGTTATGACTGAATCAGCGATATCTGGTACTAGGACACAGTAGCCAAGTTGAACAGAAAATACAAACAAAAACTTCATCAGAAATTAGAAAATGTTGGAGCAGAAATATTTCAGATCTACTGATTTGCCAAAAATCCTGCAGGTGTCCACTGTGTGTTGCTGGGCATTCTAGCAAGAATGAAGAACTTGCAGAATCATTTTCTAAAAGTAATATGAAAGCTGTAGTAGGGTCCAGTCTAACAGACTGGCAGCTTTAAGAAGCAGCTGAGATTTTAGATATGTATTTTAGAAACAGCGAAGTGTTTTTGTAAGGTGAGGAAATAATAAATTAAGTTAGTATAGCCAGCTCTTCACACTGAGGTACAGCCTGTGTCAAAATTAGGCATACAGACAGCAATGCAGTCAAAGTAGAAGGGAATCCACGACCCAGGAAAACTCTTTTCTGCTCTTGAAAAACTACAGTTCAAAACTGACTGAAAGATAAGAGCTAGAGTATGCTGCAAAATAATAATTAGGAACACAATAGTACTTATATAGGGTTTTCATTGCCAGTTTCCTAAGTAGTTATTAATTACTCTACAGGCCAAACTGCAGGAAACTTAATCGGGAATTTTAAGTTGCATAAACTGATCACGTCACAAAATCAAAAATACTGTTTCCATGTTAGTATTTTTATATTAGTAACAGAGGCAAAGAAATGTCAGGAATGTATTAATGTAGGCAGAATATCCATGAAGACTGTTGGGGTTTTTTTTTCAGTTTTCAGGAAACAATCACAGGGTTTGTAGTCTTGTTACTGAAAACAGGGTATTTTCCATCATGCATAGCAGAAGCATCAATTTTATCTAACTGCTAGTACTTAATCAGTTCCACTCAGTTCTGCCTCTTTTCACGGTAGAAACAAATTCTGCTAGAAATCTCTTTCAGAATTATTTTCCAACTTCACATATCAGGCAACTTGTACAAGCATTTAAACTTTAATAATGGTTCCTGGATGACTACATAAATAGAGAGTTGTTACTATTTAAATGAACAAAGGAAGCCTTCAAGTCAATGAAATTAAGAAAAATATCCTAAACCATTGACAAAGTCCTTGGTATCTTTGCCTAACTTGTCTGATATTAATCACAGACAGAAAAAGAAGCCAAATGTTACACTAAGGAACATTATCTATAAGCACTGATAGGAAAAGACTATAGAATAAACTTTCTTTATTATTATATTCTGTTGTCTAGTTTGCACTGTAATGTATTGCATACCTAGTAGAGGTGCACCAGTAAAATTTTCCTGCCAGCTGACGTTTCACAGAATCACAAAATGGTAGGGGTTGCAAGCGACCTCTGAAGATCATCTGGTCCAACCCCCCTGCCAAGGCAGGATCACCTAGGGCAGGTTGCACAGGAACGCGTCTAGTCGGGTTTTGAAGGTCTTCAGAGAAGGAGACTCCACAACCTCTCTGGGCAGCCTGTTCCAGTGCTCCATCACCCACACAGTAAAGAAGTTTTCCTCATCTTGAGGTGGAACCTCCTGTGCTGCAGTTTATGCCCATTGCTCCTCGTCCTGTCACTGGGCACTGCTGAGAAGAGACTGGCTCCATTCTTCTGAGAGGACTTCCTCTTTTTTAGTATGTTTCCTGACATATTGACTATTTCCCAGAACACTAAAAGTTGGTGTAAGCAAAGTGATATTTAAATTGGAAGGTGTATGCACTGTAAACAAACTAGATTGGTAAAGAAACAAATATTTGACTTGCTGTAGGACCTTGCTATCTTCCAAATGGTTATTACATTTTGAACACTTGTCTGTATAGCTCCTTCCTCTACTCATTAACTCTTCTGAAAGATATTCCGATGTCTCCAGATTTTACTATCCTGGTGGATCAGCTCCTTTTCTAAATTTTTATTTTTTTCAGAATTTATTCTGGATTTTGGATAACAAGTGTGCTTTGTAGACTGCTTCCTACTGGGCAAACAAGAGAACACAGAAGATTGCTCAGAACAGCTCCTCTGATACTCAGCAAACCCTAGCCAAGATCCTGACTTGGTGGTCAACACCAGGTTTATGAGGTAGCAAACGTGATGAGGGAGCAGGAAGGATATGAAAAAGGGAATCACAAATGGTTTGAATAAATAGGAAATAAAAGGTAAAATTCACATGAATTGCTTTAGACATAAAAGACCCTATTTGTAGCTCCCTTAAATGTGTAACCAAAGTTATTTTAAAAGTGGATTCTTCAAGATAAACTGCTGGTGTCACTAATACAGAGCCCCTGTGGGATGCTTTATAAAGTTACTCGCAACCTCTCTGCTGCATTTCTTACATGGAATTACAGCTTGGAGACTTTCAATGACAATGCAATAAAGACCTTGCAGATTTGCTATACATTACTGTCATTTTTTATAAACTCTGATGATAAAATAAAATGGCACCAAAAAGACAGTAGAAATCTTCTTGTGCAACTTTTACTCAGGCTAGTGAGCACTCACACAAATAATCTTACTTGAGTTAATGGAGTTCTTGACAACACGACTCACCAACAAAAGAAATGGTCCCAGAAGGAAGGAATTCCTCAGAAAGCAATGGATTCAGCACCAGAAAGTAAATCAATTCCTAGCCTGACTTATAAGCACTACAGTCAAGTTTAAGTTTACAAGTGTCTCAGTTTTTGTTTTCAGACATCTTGTGTCTGATCATTGACTGGAAATTTTGTTCAATTTTCATCATTTAGGTGAGAAGTTGAGGTAGTTTTAATGGAGTAAGACATGCTGCAAATAAAGAGTGTAGTCTTCTGGAAATCTCAGCCTCCAAATCCATTCCCCAAGCCATTACCAATGGAATACACTAGTTGTAACATTCTAATATTTTACAAGAATCTTTTGTCAAAAGATTTACAGAACACTGCTATGTTACTATTATCACTTTTCAAAGTCTCTTTCCTTAACTATGTGCAACAGTTCTAAAGCAATGTTTGGTAACTCCATTCAGGACAAGAATAACCCATGACAGGGGATTTGAAAGATTCAGCAGTGGAAAAAATGTGAATTATCCTATTTGTAAATTCCAATTCTTTCTATCTCAGGATTAATGAATAGAAGGTTAATAACTCTGTCCCACAAAAGCACTGTGGTTCTGGAGGAAGCTCCCAGTAGTGCAGTGAGAGCAAGCAGCCTACGATGAGTTATCGTAGCATAAAACTTGTTTATCCACAGGTTAAAGGACATAGTTGCATGCAATTCTAGGGAACCACATGTCATTAATAAGGTGGCCCATTTCCTCCCGTCTTCCTAAATGAATAAAGATTTCCACTGCCTGGCATTCTGCATCATTGTTTACATTTATGCAAAATGAATGCAAGCTACTATCAATTTAGAGCAACTGCTTCTATCACCCGTATTATATTCATTTTGCACAGGGCTGGACAGTAACAGACAGGGCAGAGCATCTCATAACTCAGAATAGTAGTAACCTGAAAATGTCACCATTTTAAAGTCAGAATGCATATATAATTCTTGCCAAATTTATCTTAAAATTACAAATTGAAGTAGTGTCCCTTCCCACTCCTCTGGGTCTTGAAGGCAGAAACTTTTCTACAGTTTTCAAAAAGGTCGCTTTTTCTTTGAAAAGGTTTCAACAACAGGAGATAAACAAAGCTTTGAATCACACTCCTTTGATCAAGCACAGGCTCCACTGGGCTAAGCAGAGCAAAGCTTTCATGAAACTGGAGTCAAAAAGCAAATAAACTCCCATTTTCATAGATTAAGACTACTAACCTGTACATAACACTCAGAAACAGAGCCAAAGCAGACTTGCATGTTGTTTATAAGATAAGGAAAGCCAGGTACGTGGGCATATCAGAAGTTTCTTGTGTCTACAGAAATAATCCAGTAAGAGTATCCTGCAGCAATCCTGTTTGCAAGGTGCAAAGATATCTATCTTAGTGAATATATGACTGCTGCGAGTCGAATAACCCTCACTAGCTTTCTAATGAAGGGGAGAGAAGTACTATTATTTCTGCTTCATTCAGGTGCATGGCTTCAACACAAGCATGAAAAATGAGCCTGAACACTTACAACTGGTCTGTAGCAGAGAGAGACAACAACCCAGATTTCGCCAAGTCTGGACAATCAGTCATATCGTTGATTACAATTTTTTAATACAAGGAGGATTAACAGAACGATGTACCTCTTGAAGAGAAAGTCACACTTCGCATGATAAAACGAGATTAAAATAACCAAAAAAAGAAAGAAATTGTTCTTTGCCCCTAGAGACTTGAGATTATCTACTTTATGATTCTTGTTTGCATGAAATTCAACTGGAGGTATAGCCTCTAGGCTATGCCTCCAGGACTCTAGCAATAATAGCAAGAAAAAAAAATCTAAAGTAGCAATCGAAATTCTACAACACTTGGAGAATGCAGAAGAGCCCAGCCAAGACAACAACATATTGGTGCTATGAAGGCAAACCAAACGACCTCAATCTAACAAGTGTTATCGCTGAATAGATGGAGAACCTCACAAAGCTAGAGATACAAACTAGTTATTTCTTATTTTAAATACATGAACTTTGAAATACGTCAGTTACCAAGAAATGATAG